TCAGGACTGCATTTATCACTACTTCGGAGACGGCTAGATATACGGGGAGCTGCTCCCCAGGTTCGGGTTTTGAAAGTAGGGGTGGTGATGATAGGTATACCTTCAGTTCTCACAGAGCCTGGACACACTCGGGATTCCATTCGAGGCCGTTGTTCTTTTTGAGCATGCCAAAAAATTTGTGGCATCTATCAAATGAGCGCGAAATGAATCCTGATAGGGCAGCGATTTGACCAGTCAACCCAAGAGCGTGAGATGGTAGTCAAGAGCTCAGGTATCCCTCCGATAGCTTTTATTTGGTCTGGGTTGACCTCGATCCCCCGTTGCGACACCAAAAAACCCAAGAACTTTCCCGAGGCTATGTCGAACGCGTATTTCTCTGGGTTTAGCTTCATCTCGTACCATCTTAGTATGTCGAAAGCTACCTTTAAATGATTGATATGGTCCTCTGCCTTTATGGACTTGGCCAACATGTCATCTATATATACTCCCATGGTCTTACCGAGCTGGTCTTTGAACATCTTTGTCCCCAATCTTTGATATGTAGCCCCCGCATTCTTCAGCCCAAACGGCATGACCCTATAACAATACGTTCCTTGGTGGGTGATGAACGTGGTATTCTCTTGGTCTTCTTCCTCTATAAGAATTTGGTTATACCCTGAGTAAGCGTCCAAAAAACTTAATAGCTCGTGCCCGGCTGTTGCATCGATGAGTTGGTCGATGTGAGGTAATGGGAACGAATCCTTCGGACATACTTTGTTTAAGTCTGTGAAGTCCACGCACATCCGCCATTTCCTATTTTTCATTTTGACCATCACTACGTTGGCGATCCACTTAGGGTACTTCGACTCCCTGATGGAGTCGTTCTCTAACAATTTTTCTACTTCCTCGCGGACTACATAATTGATAGAGGGGTTGAATTTACGCCTAACATGTATAACTGAGGGGTGGATCGGGTCGACGTTCAATTTGTGTGTGGCAATTTCCCTTGGGATGCCCGGCATATCTTTGAACATCTTTGTCCCCAATCTTTGATATGTAGCCCTCGCATTCTTCAGCCCAAATGGCATGACCCTATAACAATACGTTCCTTGGTGGGTGATGAACGTGGTCTTCTCATGGTCTTTTTCCTCTATAAGAATTTGGTTATAGCCTGAGTAAGAGTCCAAAAAACTTAATAGATCATGCTCGACTGTTGCGTCGATGAGTTGGTCGATGTGAGGTAATGTGAACGAATCCTTCGGACATACTTTGTTTAAGTCTGTGAAGTCCACGCACATCCGCCATTTCCTATTTTTCTTTTCGACCATCACTACGTTGGCGATCCACTTAGGGTACTCCGACTCCCTGATGGAGCCGTTCTCTAACAATTTTTCTACTTCCTCGCAGACTACATCATTGATGGAGGGGTTGAATTTACGCCTAACATGTATAACTGAGAGGTGGATCGGGTCGACATTCAATTTGTGTGTGGCGATTTCCCTTGGGATGCCCGGCATATCTGCATGGCTGAAGGCAAACAAATATACATTAGTTATTAAGAATTGACTGAATTTACCTGGTTGCCGGAGTTTGCAGCCGATATAGGCCTTTTTGCTATGGCCATTGAGGTCCAATTGAACGAGGTCGAGGTCTTCTATGGTCGAATCTGCAACCTCGACCATTTCGGGATCCATGATGACGTCTCTGGTCTCTCCTTGCATCGACCTCGGCCCTATTGATTGTTATGCCTCTTTTTCCTTGACTTTTTTTTGTTGGGTTGTCGTGCTGTCTAAGGCAATATGGTAGCATTCCCAGGACATGGGTTGTTCCCTGCGTATGCAAAATATTCCTTATGGTGTTGGGAATTTAATTATTTGGTATAGGTCGGAGGGGATGGCTCTCATGGAATATATCCATGGTCGTCCCACTATGGCATTGTATACAGTGGCCTGATCCATGATATGGATTGTTGTCTCCAATGTTACGTCGCCAGCCAAGACGAGGAGTGTAATTTCCACTGACGTCCACTTAACTGTATTATTAAAACCGGTTATCGTGATGCAACGCGACACTATCTTATCCTCGAGTCTCATTTGGGTAAGTACTCGGGGATGGATAATGCATGCGCCGCTTCCATCGTCCACCATGATACACTTAACATCAGTATCTAAAATGCGTAAAGTAATAACGAGGGCATCATTATGAGGAAAAGTCAAACCGTCGGCATCCGACTCATCGAAGATGATACTTTCTTCTAGTCCATCATACCGTTCGCAGGTGATAGACTACTTGAGCTTGTGAGTGGTGGTGAACTTTACGTCGTTGATAGAGGCATCAAGCCACCGCGATGATCATGTTGATAGTACGAGCTGGTGATGGTGGCTTCGGCGGGCCTTGGTGTTCGCGTCCTTTGGCGAAATTATGTCTACCCTTGTCTCTTAGCAGCTCTTTGAGGTGTCACTGTCGCAACATGTTTACGACTTCTTGTCTAAGGGAAATACAATCTTCTGTTTTGTGCCCACGTTTCTAGTGGAACTCACAGAGGGCGTCGAATTTTCTAGTGTTCGGGTCTGATCTCATCTTCGGCGACCACTTCACCTTTGTTCCAAGTTTCTCCAGAGCGTTGACTATTTCTATATGTGACACACAAAAATTGTAAGCAGATAATAAAGGGGTCACACCTCTTTTGTTCCGGTGAGTCCCTATTCTTGGCCTGGATGGGCCTTCTTCATAGCGGGGGGAAGGTGCGGCAGCTGCCCTGACATATGGCTGGTGTTGTTCCCTATTGGGTCATGAAACCGGGTGATCCCTCCTGATGTTGTATCTTTGTTCTTTTCTAGATTCAGTTTGTACCGAGGTTAGTCAGTGAGTTGGTCTGTTGAGGTCGTCTTCATCTACTCGGACCTCGGTGCAATAAGCATTATGGATTTCGTCCCAAGTGGTTGGAAGATATTTCATCAATCGGTCCAACAGTTTTCTAGTTGCTCTCGAACCATCTCTACTCAACCCGTTCTGGAAGGCCGCGACCGCCATCCCTTCAGACACATTCGGCAGAGTCATCCTTACTCTGTTAAATCGGGGGAGGAAGTCCCTTAGTCCCTCTCCCAAGGACTGCTTGATAGCGAATATGTCGTTTACTCTTGCTTCGGCCTTCTTGGCTCCAGCATGGGCAGTTACAAACTTATCGGCCATTTCCTCGAAAGTCTCTACGGAACGGGCTGGTAACTGTGAGTACCATGTCAATGCTCCTCCCGTAAGGGTTTCGCCAAACTTCTTCAACAAAATAAAGGACACTTGTTCCTTTTCCATCATGGCGGTGACATAATGGGTCACATGATCTTCATGATCGGTCGTCCTGTTGTATATCCTGAGGTAGGGCGGTATTTTGAAGGTCTTTGGTATGGCGTGCGGGGGTGCGTTATCATTGTACGGCTGCTCTACGAACCTACCGGCGTTCCTTTTTGGCAACAACTTAGGAGCGCCCGGTATCTTGTAGACTTGTTCTTGGTATTCTTTCATCTGATCTTGGAGTGCTTTGTTTTCATTCTTCATTTCTTCCACCCTATTTAGAACGACAGTGTGGGCACTGTCACCTACACTGTTAGTAATATTGTGAGTTATACCTGTCATCGGAGGGCTTGGTCGGTTGCAGTGCTCATCCGTTTGTTGTATCATGCAAGATCTTGCGGTTTCTGTAGTCATTCCTGGAACGGGTCTGTTGAGGACGCTCACCAGCGTGTCGGTCAGCCATGCTTCGAGGAGTTCTTTCACAGCTGGGGGCGTTCCTTCCTCTGTGGATGTGGAGGCTCCTTTTCTACTAGGTTTGTTTTGCTGCAGTGGGGGGAGGCGACCTCTCGCGCCTAGGGAAAGCGCTGGGCGTCACGTCCTCGCCCACAGTTTCGCAGCTCTCGTTGATAGCATTCATGAGGTTGCTAGGGAGATCACTTGTTATTCTAGTCTTCTCTCCTTGGTTACCTGCCATGTTGGTTTCTGTACGTACAAAGAGAGAAGAAGATCTTTGGGGTTTGTGAAGTTAGTGACTTGTGTTAGTTACAGATCTGAAAGAAACTATAAAATTAACAAAGAAATCCCCACAGACGACGCGAAATTATTTGACCAAAAAATATGGATCTCGATTAAACTAATTAAATTTATGTAAATGGGGGTCAATCTTAGTTAACAATAATATCTCAAAGATGAAGTTCTTAGAAGTGTAATAAATACTATGTAGATATATTTTAATAGCGGCGGCTGCATACAACCAATACTTCAGAAGTCAAAGGAAATAATATAGCATTAAATATTGTTGAATAGCAATAAATGACATTTAAGTAAATAGAATGAATGAGTCACCCAAGAAATGATGGAATCAGTGAATGTTCTTTCTGACAAGTGATGGGCAATCCTTTGAATATCTGAGTTATTCTCGGATATGGTGGGAAAATGTAGACAAAAATCTTAGCAAAAAGGTTGTGTTTGTATTCTTGCAGTGAGATCCGATTCTCTCCTTTAAAGTCAAAGTGTCTTTTACAAATGAAATATCACTTGTCCCCTATCATTGTGTCTCTTTCTATTTATAGGGAACATGTTCCTAAAAACCCTAACAGTATAAGTGCAGAGAATACCCACTAAAATATTCTCTTTTGTCTTATCTTGAAACTAGCCGTTATAACTCTGTTAAGGGTGCTCGACCTCGGCCTTGATCCTTGATGACTCTTCGACTTCATTGTTGATTAGATCACTTCGACCCATGACGACTTGGAGATGCTTTACCGATGTCATTTTGACTTATATTCTAGAGATAGATTTTGATTCATACACTATCTAGCTTTGTTTATAGCTTTAATTTGTTTACTAATGTACTCATTGGAGTTGAACGTGGGCCCTTGTTAAGTGTATCTAGCTAACTCTTCTGCTCTATTTAAAGTACTTGAGCATTCAATTAATACTTGTGATTCTCAATTAGGAGTATCTCACTAATTCAAATAGAGATGACTTCGAAATATCAACAGAGAGTTATATGATGAATGACAATACTCATTACACAATTTTTTTCATATAAGGAGAAAAAAGCTTACAACAAGTAAATAGATTTCTATATTGTGAAATACAAGAAGTCCATAATCAAGAGTAAGTACGTCCCCTAGAAAACCCTGTTTTTAGGAAATACTAAAAGGGACTTATTTGACGCTACTTAATTCCCACCAAATACACAACCATAGCAACAAAGGAAACGAGAAGTTACCACACACTAGAATTTAACCTTACATACACACTTACATATAAGTAACAAAATGAAATCTAAAACTCAAATCAAAATATGTGGACGTTGATCAAGGACACTGGAAGCCAGATGGAACCTGTTTTCCACAAACATTAAGAAGAAGGCTTAGAGAAAGAGGGACATTAAGGTTAATCCCAAGAATGTTGGCTTTAATGGCAGTGCATAGACAAATAGCAGCCTCAAGGTCAGCAACACCTTGAATGAGAGTGCAACAAGGTTTCTTTGGAGGATTACCAATCACAAGTCCAAGCAAATTGCCTAAAACATTAGCACAAACACCTAATTTTAGAGTATCAATTGGGCACTTGCCTTTGGATGGGCTAGGACTTGGTTTTGGTTTTGGTTTAGGACTTGGGCAAGTGCCACATGCACTCACAAGGGAGAAAAAGAGAAGGTTGACAAGAAGAAAGAGAGCAAGAGAAGTAGTTTTCTTAGAAGCCATTTCTAAGAGTCTAAAATTTCTTAATGATTGATATAACTATCAACTTTAGTAGTTATAAGTAGATTGTTGCTTTGTTTGATATTGCAAAGGTTATAGAAGGTGGGTTTATATAGGATGCAAAAGTATGAATTAGAGTAAAGAGAAATATTAAAGAAATTAAGTTCTAGAAACCATGTGTCCCCAAGGTTTTAGCTGGCAGCACAAGCAAATTAGATATTTACTCAAATTCTCTTGAATGCATTATTAGCCACATAAGGTGTTGCAATTTGCCATGTTCCTCGCCAGTGTCTACATCTATGAATAAAACATAGAAGATGTATATGTAAATGTAACGAATTATATATACTAATACTAATAGTATAAAAAAAATTAGATTATAACCTACTTTTATCCGAATACTTATCAATTAATACTTATCGAGAAATTTATCCATAATAATATAATAAATGATCTGATTGTGTAAATATTTTCACACCATCAGTGCTTCCTCTTCCATGAGCTATCACTTCAACCGTAATATTATAAATCATGGTATAGAGACAAATTAGTTAATTAATATACTAGTATTTTCACTGTCAAAACATTAAAGGAGTTCCTATTACTAGCAACAAAAGAAGTAAAGACGGAGGTAGTTCCTAGCGCCCATACACTTTCGGATACCCAAAAAATATAAAATAAAAAAACCGGTGCTATTCCAATTTTATTTGTTTTAAAATAAAATATTGTAGTTGGTTCAAATTAAGATAAAATTAAAATTTTCCTACTACCCTAATGAATGAACATTTGTAGATAATTAGATTCTCGGTTTTTTTCCCCTCAATATTTGAGAGTGAACATGCATATTTACTGGTCTTAATTATTTTCTTTTTTCTTTTTAGTTGGCGTTGTAGTTCACTAACGTGATGCTATTATTAGCCTTTGCCGTAAGTAAGATCAAGTTCAATTCTTCGTCTAGTATATTGTGCCTCCTAAAGGACCAAAAGTTGTTAATTACCCTTAGCAGAAGTTCTAAGTGTTTCTACTTTTGGAAGTGACTCTGCTTCGCTTGAAAATTCCTGTATTTTATTATGATGCTGTTATGAAATAAAAGCAACTTAGTAAAACATGAACAAGACATGTTGTTATGAAATAAAAGTAATTTAGTAAAACATAAATAAAAAATGGAGATAGAGAGAAGGAAGAGGTTTTCTTCTTCAATTGTGTGTATTTTCCTATCTATTACAAGGCCTTTATATATGCATGAAAAGTGAAGAAAANATAGAAATATGTCATTGAATATGTCATTAAGCATTTGAGAAGATCATGGAGGAAGAGTAGATATCCACCATAATTTGATTTTTCTTATAACACTCCCCCTTGGATGTCCATAGATAATGTGCCTCATTAAAACCTTATTAGGAAAAAACCTTATGGAAAAAAAAATCCTAGTGAAGGAAAAAGAGTACACATGTTTAGAAATACG